CTGAAAGAAGGGGCGGCACAGCGCACCCCATAACGAAGAGGGGTCGATACAAATGCATGCATCAGCAGCAACATGGCTTGACTGCTGCAGCAAGCTCTCTGGTGCTGTCCCCCTGAGGCTGGCCAGCAGCAGTAGCTGCGCCAGAGCCACTGCATGCAACGGCAGCAGTTGCTGCTGCTGCTGCTGCTGCTGCTGCTGCTGCGGCTGCTGCTGCTGCTGCTGCTGCATCAGCTGCTGCAGACACAGGGGGCCCCCTTGGGGGCCCCCAAGGTCCAGCCAGCACAGCCCTTTACACAGGGGGCAACCCGCAGCAGCAGCAGCAGCAGCAGCTGCTGCTGCTGCTGCTGTTGCTGTTGCTGCAGCAGCAGCAGGAGTTGGAGTATGTTCTTGTTTGTTTCTGCTGCAGCAGCTACAAAGAGAAAGATGAATTGCTGCTGGGGGGCCCCCAGGGTACTGCGGGGGGGCCCCAGGGTACTGCGGGGGGCCCCCCGGGGAGACAGCTGGGGTGTATAGGCAGTAGAGACGAAGGTCGTTGCAGCCAGATAAACGGAGACAGCAGCGCCAGCAGCAACGCCCCACACCTGCTGCTGCTGCTGCTGCTGCTGCTGTTGCTGCTGCTGCAACTGGCGGTGGAGGGGGTGAGGGGGGGGTTGCTGCTGCTGCTGCAGCAGCAACATCAGTTGCTGCTGTTGCTGCTGCTGCAGCGCGGGCTTCCGCTGCGGTCTCCATTGCTGCTGCCTCAGATATTGCTGCTGTCGTTCCCGCTGCAAGTGCAGCAGCAGCAGCAGCAGCAGCAGCAGCAACAGCAGCTGCAGCAGGAAGGCCAGCAGCAGCTGCTTTTGCTGCTAACAGCAGCAGCAGCCGTCTGTGTGCTGCAGAAGCGGCGAATTAGCTGCCCCCAAAGAGATACAGGCAGCAGCAGCAGCAGAGCAGCAGCAGCAGCAGCAGCAGCAAGAAGGAGAGTCCCTTAAGGTGCAGCAGCGCAGCAGTAGCAGCAGCAGCAGCAGCAGCAAGAGTTGTCGTTTGGGGGGCCCCCAGTGGAAGGGCTTGCAAACAAGGGAGAGAGAGAAGATCTATGAGGGGGCCCTGGGGCCCCCCGATCTGCTGCTGCTGTTGCTGC